ATCTGGTCCCATGCCAGGCTTCAAAGATTATAACCAACTCCTTGAATTGGACAAAGCAACAAAGTGGCACCCAATGCAGCAGAGGCCTTACATGCCCAGTCCTTGAGGTGCCCAAAACTGCTCACATAGCCACAGTCTGCACCAGCTCCAGGATACTCTTCAAGGGTAGCCCCATGTAGAGTGCATTGTAGTAGTCATACAGCAGATAACAGAATAACAGTTGGAAGGGACTAGAAGAACAGATGTCTTCTAAGCCAACCCCCTGCTCAGGCAGGAAATCTTATATCATTTCAGACAAATGGTTGTCCCAATCTCTTCTTAAAAACTTCCAGTGTTGGAGCATTCACCGCTTCTGGAGGCAGGTTGTTCCACTGGTTAATTGTTCTAACTGTCAGGAAGTTTCTCCTTAGTTCTAGGTTGCTTCTCTCCTTGATTTCCAATCATTGCTTCTTGTCCTGCCTTCAGGTGCTTTGGAGAATAGTTTGACTCCCTCTTCTTTGTGGCAACCCCTGAGATATTGGAACACTGCTATCATGTCCCCCCTAGTTTTTCTTTTCATTAAAGTAGATATGCCCATTTCCTGCAACTGTTCCTCGTATGTTTTAGCTTCCAACCCCCTAATCATCTTCGTTGCTCTTCCCTGCACTCTTTCTAGAGTCTCAACGTCTTTTTTATATCGTGGCGACCAAAACTGGATGCAGTGTTCCAAATGTGTCCTTACCAAGGCCTTGTAAAGTGGTATTAACACTTTATGTGATCTTGATTCTATCTCTCTGTCTCTGGTGAGCAAGGCACGAGTAACTGAAAGGTCTCCCTATTATGTAGCTATGGTCTATGTTGTCTCTTACCTGACTGTTTCCTAGGCAGCATTTCTTCACCCCCATCCCTCAAGGTCTTTCTTGCACACCATTACAGAAGGGTTTCTATTCCCTGATGGAGATATTTGTCAGTATCTTCAGTAAGGACATTCAGGGTGGGGGCATCAAGAACCTCAAGATGGCAGCTTCAACTGTCCAGTTGAAGCCCCGTCTGAGTTTTTAATCACATGTAACTTAAAAAAGCAGGGCTTTTGTTGCATTCTAAGGACCCTGCCAACAAAAGTGCGTATAGTCAAGGCCATGGTTTTCCCAGTTGCAATGTATGGATGTGAAAGTTGGACCATAAGAAAGGCTGAGCGACAAAGAATTGAGGCCTTTGAACTATGGTGCTGGAGAGGACTCCTGCGAGTCCCCTGGACTGCAAGGTGATCAAACCGGTCAGTCCTAGAGGAGATCAACCCTGACTGCTCTTTAGAAGGCCAGATCCTGAGGTTGAAACTCAAGTACTTTGGCCACCTAATGAGAAGGAAGGACTCACTGGAGAAGAGCCTGATGGTGGGAAAGATTGAGGACAAGAGAAGAAGGGGACGACAGAGAATGAGGTGGCTGGATGGAGTCACTGAAGCAGTAGGCGTGAGCTTCAATGGACTCCAGAAGATGGTAGAGGACAGGAAGGCCTGGAGGAACGTTGTCCATGGGGTCGCGATGGGTCAGACACGACTTCGCAATTAACAACAACAACAACAAAAGGACCATCATCATGCCATTTTAACTTTCCTCCCAAAAACACCCTATGTGTGTCCCTCTGGGGCTGTTCTGTCAATATCGGTTCCTCATTTTTACAAAAGGGTTTCCTTCATTTTTTCCATTTTTGTAAATCTATTACTTTTAAGTTCCTCTCGGTTTCTCAATTGTTGCAAATCTGTCACATTTGGTTTGTTCGGCTTGCTTTTGCTTTTATTTTTAATATTGCACCCATCTGTTTCCACATGAATAAGTTCCCCAAAGATGCAGTTATTGATTGCAATTTTGTGAGATACACCCATGTTTCGCAACCCCGTTTCCCCCCCTCACTTCATTATTTCCGGGCATCCTTCTCATGAATGTGTGTGTGTGTTCTTTGGCTCTGATTGTTCCATTCAAACCTGCAGATTGAAGCTAGCCCAGTTTCACTTTGTTTGTTCATTTGAACATTTGAAATATGTTCTTATTAAAATGCACTTGTTTCTCATCTCCAAGTAGCAGTGAACAGTCTGCTAGCATCCGGTCTTCAATCTGCGTTAAATAACATTTGCAAAAGGTACAAAAAAGTTCAAGTGCATTGAAAAAAGAGAACATACGTGTTAGGAAGCATGACATGGATGGATGGATGGATGGATGGATGGATGGATGAGATATGGCTGTCCATCTTATGTGCCATAACTCTGAGTGGTCTACTCTACACCAAGAACAATAGGAATATTGAAGAAACCATTAAAACCAGCATCAAAGAAACAACTCAGGTTCCCTAAACCAACATTCCCTGTTTCTTAATCTCCAGAACTTTAAAATGTATGGACTTCAGCGCTCAGATTTCCCCTGTCAGAATGCTGGCTGAGGAATTCTGGGAATTGAAGTCCACACATCTTAGACTTGCTGAGGTGGAGAAACACTGCTCCAGACACTGGGTCAATGTCTGACGTGCCCAACCAGAGATAGAGATATATAATTGAGTGTCAGTTGTCAGTATCACCTATATATTGATGATACTGTACCCCCTAACATCAAATGACCTCTCCCAGAAATTTCATGTAGATGTTAAACAGGAACAGGGAGAATCCCAATTCCTGAAGCCTGAAGCACTCCACAAAAAAGGGACGTAGGGTTGAACCTGCCCCCCTCCCCAATATTTAGAAATATTGGATATTGGGGAAATGACTAAAGGCTATTCTCAAGAAAACTAAGGGCAAAAAGATTGAGGAATGTTTTTAATGCATTTTAAAAAAAAATCTATTGAAAAAACCCCAAATCCTGCCTCAGCTTATCCAGAACCGGTCACTGACCAATTTAGACTGATCAGCACATCCTTATCTTTGCGGTTCTAATGTGGGAGATTTTGAGGAAATTGGGAGGTTAAAACCTTTGCTATTTCAGAGGAAAGATGAAGAAATATTTCCGAACAAATATTATAAAGAAATTCCACACGTTGAGTTCAAGCTTCTTGGCATGCTGACAAACAACCCAGCCCAGTTTCATTAGAACAAGTTTTTTTTAAAAAATAGAAAACAAATCTTGTAACAGAGGGGTTTTTTTCAAGAACAAAACAAAACAAGCAGTTCCTTCAGAAGAGGAAATTGCTCCACTCTAGGTGGCTGCCTTTCACTATTCCATTTTCTGAGGGGACAAAATGAAAACCATCCTTCCCACTTTCTTTTATCGGTCACATTTCTTGCTCTTTCTGTTCAGAAACAGCAAAAGTGTTTAATTATTTTTGTTTGAGGATGGGTCTTCCTTGCTGTAACCTCTTAGGTTTCCTGATAATAATAATAATGATGATGATGATGATGATGATGATGATGATGATGATGATGATGATGATGATGATGATGATGATAAAGTTGGAAGGGGCCTTGGAGGTCATCTAGTCCAACCCCCTGCTCAGGCAGGAAACCCTATACCATTTCGGACAAATGGCTGTCCAGTTTCTTCTTAAAAACTTCCAGTGTTGGAGCATTCACCGCTTCTGGAGGCAGGTTGTTC